CTCTCTGCTTATGTGCCTGCTTCATCTTTAGGTTATGGCAGCTTCAGCCTAGTCTCACACCTTAAATATCATATTATTATCTCTTGCCATTATTTGCAAATAACTCAAAATATAAATGCTAAGCTCTGTAAATAAGTAGCAAAAATTACGATGCGGTATTTGGTGAGTGATGCTAAAAAGATAAAACACAACTGACTTTTGGAGATTAGAGCATTAGAGTATTCAGTAGCATATCCATTCCAAGAGAAATTTGTAGGATAGGTTTAGGCAATCTACCAGATGCAATCATTACTTCTTACTAGTAAGATCTTCAGTGAGTCCCATCATTGCACCAAGTGAGCAAGACTAGCAAAAATTTTCCATTTTTCTTCAATTTTCTTGGGAGGAATTAAGTGGCTGAAAAGTGTAAACCAGTATTCAGTGGTAAAGAGAGCAGCAGCGAGTCCCTAAACAAATATCCATTTCCATGAGCGTTCACTGATTATTAAACTACAGTATTGAGAAAGAATCTCAGGGTCTATGGTTCATGTCTTTAATTAAGCTATGTGATGCAGCTTAACTACACCTGCACTGGAGATGCTAACTTTTTCTTATTGATAATTTCCAGCCTTTGTAATGCTGTGTGCCACTTTTGCCAGGCAGAATGCAGTGTTGTCATCTGACAATACATTCCGTTATAATTTTGAATAATGAGAAGAATCAGTTAAGTTTATTCTTTCTTGCTTACCACTGTTCTTTTTTCCAGATGATAAAATTTTGAACATCATCAAAGAACTGATAAAAACAGAAAACACTCTCTGATATTTCAGAGCTACAGAAATTGGAAGAAAAATATAATTGAAGAATGTGCTTGTGTAAAGGGACACAATACAATCATCATATGGACACTGCTTGAACTTTCCACATACATTCTGTTGTTATTCTGCAAGAAATGAATGCCTTGTAAAACTGACAATAAAAACTTTTGAACAATGGGTATTCAAATTTAAATAATGGCAACAATGGAGATGGTTTCAGTATAAAAATCAGAATTCATTATTTTTCTGTTTCAGCATAAAGCATATCTTGACTATGATTTCAGTTGTAGAATTTGAATCCATGGAATAGATTTCTTTTCTCTTAAAGAAAGTACAGCTGAGGAACCAGAATCTTTCTTTACTTGCCAAAATACATGTATAGGTTACATAATTATTAAGTGAATTGTTATTTGTGTCAAGCAGTGCATTTTAAGAAATTGCTCATTTTCATTTCTTACCCAAATGATAACTTTGAAAAGACATAGTAACAATTTGATAGTGCCAGAAGATACTTACTTTGGCATTTCAAAAAAAAAAAAGGTGTTTCATATATTTGCTTTGAAGTTCCAAACAGTTTTTGGAATGCATGTTCCTTTAGATTGAAATTCTGTGTCTGAATTCAGTATGTATAAAACTGGAAGAAATATTAATCTTTTTTTTCTTAAAAAGCAACACACCACCTCAAATATGTATATTTAGAAACTTTTTGTTTATATAAAGAAAATATACAGAAGAAGAAAAGGTATACATACTACCTTTTATATGCATTTTATAAGCCTAAATCTCACAGGAATTTCAGCTTGATTCTTCCACATTCAAAGCATGTTTGCTTTCCTCTACCATATATAATGTGATTCTCTTTTCACTTTAAAATTTGCAAGACCTCTAGTATCAGGCACAACGTTTGAAACTAATACAGGCAAATAAACATCTTACACTCAACTGAGTTTCTAAAAATTATTGTCCAAAATAAAGAACCTAAGTGTTCTTTATTTTGGTAATTACCATTACCGCCATAATTGGTGTATCAAATTTGATAGTATAGAAATATTAAAAATACTGTGAGTCCTATATTAACAATTAACAGGAACTTACACAGTTATTACAAATCTTGTCAAGTGATGAAAGACTGAAGCTATTTAAGAAATGTAAAATCATAATTAACTTCTATATGAGTGCAATTTTAGTATTAAAACTAAAAATCATTCCTTTTTAGATATGATCCTTAATAAATTGTGACATCAGATTGGGATATTACCTTTTTCTTAGTATTTAAAATTTGATAAAATCAATCAGGGCAAAGTATTTTATTACAAATGTACACACTGTAAGAAAAAGGCTTTAGAAAATGTTTTAATATAATAAAAAAATGGCATGCTTTTTTTTCATCAGCTAAAGCTTTTGCCTCTCTTACTTAGATGAGCTCTTGGTAATCTTAGTCCTGAATTGTCACACAATTGAGTCAGCTCTTAAAATAATAAATGTCAGGAGGCTTGAAATACTACATATTTTTGTAAGCATTTGCAAGTACTAATTGTAGATTTCAGTGTTTCTTCACAACTAGGAATCATCTTTCTGATAAAGACACTACAGTTCTGTTTATATGCCTGAAGAGGATGAAAGTCTTGTAAAGATTTCACACTTGCCTTGCTGTCAGTTTTAAAGAAAGGAACTAATTCCCAAATCTCAAAAAGCCATAAGGTAAATCTGGTATTTCTATTCTATAAGATTGTACACTAGCACAGCAGATCCTGGAATTGCCTGGTAAAGTCACTTCATTATCAGTTTCAGTTGCATTTTTCCTTGCTCTTGTGAAAAAGCTGCTCTTGATCTATAGAAAGGACAGAGAGTAATGACTTGGCATAGGCTTGGAGGAAAAAGAAAATGGAATTGGGGGAATGTCTCAACAGAGTGATATGGCAGGAGGTAACAACCTAATGAGGGAAAAAGTGGTAGATTAGGTATACAGAGGATCAATCAGAATTGTAACCAAGACATTGTGTTTGAAAACAGTGGGAAAAATTAGGGAACACAGTCCCCAGTTTAAGAAGAGTTCTGTTCCCAAAGTCTGTCCTTAAGTCGAATTCGTATGTAAGCCGGAACAGTACAATTGTATAATACTGTATAAGTAGTATTGTGTAATGAACTTGAACCATTGTGTATTTAACTCGAATCACTGTGTATTTAACTTGAATTTTGCTGCAATAGACTCCATTCTTAATTATGGGTCTGTAACCCAGGCATTCTTAACCCGGGGACTACCTGTACAAATGTGTGTTTAGATGAAATCTTTGTAGAGAGTAATCCAATTTACTGATTCACCAGAAGCAACTTGCCAACATAAATTGCTAAAAGAGAAAGATCTCATTTTCCTCTTATATATACTGATGAAAGAAACTGCATGAACCCTTTAAAATTATCTATAATCCTGCAGTACATGTAGCCCTCGTTTAGTGACTGTTCACAGTTACAGCAGTAATGAAAAAGTAACTTTGTGACCGGTCCTCACATTTACAACCTTTGTAGGTTTGTAAAGCAAAGGAAAGCTGAAGTAAGATCAGAAGCACAGTTGTGGTTTCATTTAGTGACCACTTCACTTAACAATTGAGTTGCTGGTCCCAAATTGTGGTCGGTAAACAAGGACTACCTGTACCGTAACTTATAATATGATCCAAGCCTCATCTATGTTCTGCTAAGCAGCACAAAAACCAATGGCTTCATCAAACATACAACTAACATTCACTGTTTTGTTGTAAAACTATGTGAAAGTTCAGACATTTCCTGTACCTGTTACTCAGTCCTGCACATTGGCTTGGTGATATTTTGGCCCATTCATCTTTATAGAACAACTTCAACTTGATATTTTTTGGTTGTATGTATAAACTATTTGTTTGAGGTCATGGCACACACAGCATTTCAGTTGGTTAAATTCAGGGTGTACTCAGCCACTCCAAATTACAAAATTTCTGCAGAGGTGGATTTACTTAGTGGTTTGGGGTCATCACGCTGCATGACCCACATTTATTTAACCTTCAGCTCACAGATGGATTCCCTGATATTTTGTAGAATTTGCCAGAAGAATCCAGGACCCACTGTTGCCTCAGTGACTGCAAGGTATCTAGGATGTAAGGCTGCAAAGCATCCTCAAACCATAATACTTCCATTATTGTGTTTCATGGTTGGGATAAGGTTCATGAATTGCAGTGTAGTGTTGGTTTCTCCAAGCATAACATTTCTCAATACCAAGAAGTTCCACTTTCATCTCATATGACCACAGAATATTAGCTAATAGCCAGCTGGATCATCCTTGTGGTATCTGGCAAACTTGAGACAAGTGACAACATTCCTTCCTCCTTAGTTCTCTCTTGCACACCATTCTTGGTCAATGTTTTCCTTATGAATGTCATGCATACCTTGGAGATCTATAGATGATCTACTATTACCCCAGGGATCTTTGTAACCTTTCAAAGTTTGAATAATAATAGTTTTATATTCCTTTCCAGTCTCATGAGCATTAACAACCTCCTTTCTGAGATTTGTAGAAATTTCTTTTGATTGGGACATGATTCATTTCCACAAATCTATGTTGAGAAGAACAGGTTTCACTGGTAACAACCAATGTGCGTGTTTTTGTTTTAATGGGGGAGAGTGCCTTAAATTGACATCTCACTGACTGGGACTTTACTCCTTTAGAGAGACAGTTACCCTGGACTTCACATACTCTTTCCAACAAAGACAATGAATGTTGACCCAGTGTGTTCATTAAAAAAATGAAGCTCTAATCACATTGTAGGTCACAATAATACAACTAGTATTACTGAGACCTGGCTGGACTTGGAGGGAGTTGTGCCCCTCTCAGAGCTTTGCCCAGTTGGGTTTTGGGTGTGGCATCAGCTGAGAACTCAGGGCAAGGGTGAGAGGGTGGTGATTGTCATTTGAGAGTTTCTGATAGCTTTCAGGGATGCTGCCCCGCAGATGATCAGACCCTATTATGAGACCCTGTTTGTTAGGTTGGGCTCTAGGGATCAATTGTGACTGTTGCTGTTGTGCCAACCTTCCTGCCCAAGCTCCTTGACTCCATAACCATGGTGGGAGTGGAGTTCCCCAGGCTTATGTTCCTGGGGGACTTCAACCTGCCTTCTGTGGGATTGGTAAATGTTTTCCTTATGAATGTCATGCATACTGACATCAGACAACACAAGAGTGACCATAGATCATCTACTATTACCCTGGAGATCTTTGCAAACTTTGAAGGGTTTTGACAAAAGGTTTATATTCCTTTCCAGTCTCATGAGCATTAACAATCCCCTTTCTGAGGTGGCTTGGGAGTTCCTGGCCAGTATGACAGCCATGGGCCTATCCCAGGTATCCAGGGCCCAACACGTGACAATGGTAATACCACCTGATCTATTGTTGTTGTTGTTGGAGCAATGGCAGTATGATCTGGACTTGGGGCAGCTGTTAGTGGCTCTCCTGTCATGGTCAGATCACTCCCTTGTTAACTACAGTGAGGGAAAAAATTATTTGATCCCCTGCTGATTTTGTACGTTTGTCCACTGACAAAGAAATGATCAGTCTATAATTGTAATGGTAGA